TATCATTTGCCCCAAATTGAAATCCCCAAATCGTTCCCCAAAAAAAATCCCCAATTGGGGATGATAAAATAATTCTGGTAACCAAATGGGGATTTTAAATTGGGGATTGTTTTTTTGGGGATTTTTTTTCATAATATACACTGTGTATGCTGTAATTCAATCGCATCTTGCTTCTCCTACTACACAGTATCAACTCTAGAATAAAATTTTCTAGCATGATCACTGTGTTAGCCAAGGTTCAATTTAAGTTCTGGTGACCAGAAAATGATTTTTCACTCAATATTGAATTATATAACAAATATGAATGCCTATCAATCCCCAAATAAAATCCCCATTTGGGACAATCAAACGAATATAGTGAGGATATTGATTTGGGGATATTTTTTAATTCTCTAAACGTAAGAAAACCAGCTTTACGGTGAATCTGGTGAGCAGAGCATATTGTGGGTCACCAAAAACTACACTTTATAGTGACCCAAGATATATCCTGGTCATCAGATTCATTGCAAAGCTGGTTTTCTCATGCTTAGCGAATTAAAAAATATCCGCAAATCAATATCCTCACTATATTCGTTTGATTGCCCCAAATGGGGATTTTATTTGGAGATTGATTTGTGCTAACCAGTTTCGGGGTAAATAATAACCTACCACCACTTTTACTAACTGTGTAATTGTAATGCTATTGATAAGAGTGAGTAGCAATGCGTATATAACAAAAATTGAGTTGTACATATATTATACGATCAAATTTCGAGGCTTACTGACACACCCGATGAACTAAATGCGAGAGAATTACTGGAGAAAGATTACAATTAGTATTTAAAAATTCCACTTATCAATCACATGTTAAAATTTCAAACTAATGGTCTGATGACCAGAGCTGCAGAAAACAAAACAAAAAAGCTATTGATAGCTTTCACCATAAAAATTATGGCGAATGTGAACTAATAGTCTCGCTTTTCTCAAAGAGATAATTGAATTATTCTATTTCGCGACCATTTATAATCAGTACCATGCATCATTCCTATTCTTCTTGAATGCTTATCATTTATCCAAAAACTGGTTAGCACAAATCAATCTCCAAATAAAATCTCCATTTAGGGCAATGAAACGAATATAGTGAGGATATTGATTTGTGGATATTTTTTAATTTGCTAAACATAAGAAAACGGTTCTACGACATTACCGCGCAATACAGATTCATGCATAATATTTGCTCGCAAAGTCCGCATTCTAACTCTTACCCTCACCCTCACTCGTCCCCTCACTTTTGCTGTCTTTCTCACACTTATTTACGAGTTCACCCTCAACTTTTGCTCGCACGATCACTGTAGCGCGGAAGTGTCGCGCGCGGTAATGTCGTGACACGAAGAAAACCAGCTTTGCGATGAATCTGATGACCAGGATATATCTTGGGTCACTATAAAGTGTAGTTTTTGGTGACCCACAATATGTTCTGCTCACCAGATTCATCGCAAAGCTGGTTTTCTTATGTTTAGCGAATTAAAAAATATCCCCAAATCAGTATCCTCACTATATTCGTTTCATTGCCCCAAATGGGGATTTTATTTGGGGATTCATTTGTGGTAACCAGTTTTGTGGTAAATGATAACCTACCGTTGGTTATATTTTACTACAAATTGTAATTCCAGATACATCCCTACATATATCCACATTTGTAGATAATTAAACAATTATTATCAATTCTGGTGACCAGATAGGGATTTTGTTTAACACCATCTCTTACTTCCAGTTGCAAGAATCTTAGAGAGTTAATTCTGGTAACCAGAATCGAAGGAAACTAATTACTAAGCGATCTACAGTCAATGGCATTATAAAACATAAGTGCAGAATAGTGTGAATACTGATATGCTATTTGGTTATAGTTTGAACATGATTTTATGTAATTAAAACAAAACCTGTCAATTGAAAAATCTCTAAATCCAAATCCGTATTTGGTCACCAGAGTGGATCATAATTGTTTAATTATTCAAAAATGTGGATGTGATGTAGGGATGAATCTAGTGACCCCAATTTGTGGTATAGTCTAGACATTCAGTTTCTCCAGCACACTCTAAAATACTTTACTCTTTCGTTATCATCAGTTTTAAAGAAGTTTGGCATTCCATTGACAGTTAAATACTTCTCTTTAATGAAGAGTTTTTTATAGCTTTTATTTACAATGTACACACTTTCAATTTTCTTTAAAAGATGATCCTAAGACAACCAAAAGCGTTAGCACAACGAAAAAAAGAAATTAATTATGTTTATAGAAAAAGCACACCTTACAAATAACAAAAATGCAATTATTTATTTCATATATGAACGAGCTTCAAAAGAACTGAAAAAATGAAAACGTGCAGCAAAATAGATAGAGAACTAAATTGTTTTTTGCTGAACAAGAGTATGTTTAAGAGAAAGCGGCTCAGTAGACATATCAAACAAAACCAATACAATGAACATATAGTATTATACAAAGAAAGACGTAATAATCAAAGCACAGTTTAAAGTTTCTGGTCACCAAATACAAAACTTATTCGACACTGACAAGTTACAAAAACAATGTATAAAACCAACATTACAAAACTACACCCAAGTATTCACCTTTTTTATGTGACTTTTATGAAACTTTTTTTGCTACCCATTTAGATGATTCTAATAATAAATCTTTTGCGCTAAGGTTTCCAGCATTATAATTGTCCCACAAAGTTTGTAATGAATCATTAATAAGAATTGTTATTGCAGTTTGTTTTCTTTTGTGCACCGGTATATCGGAGCTAATTTTCATCACTAATTATTGTACTAACAATTCTTCCTTTTCAAACCACACAATAAGACGATAAAGATGTGGATGAGCTGATAGCTGAACACACATCTTGTTGTTGTACCCTACATTTGAAATGATAGCAGAAGTCATGATTAATTGAAGATAAGCGAAGCTGAACGTATTTTAGATATCTGGTGGCCACATGTACCATAGAAGTATGAGTATAATTTCTATCAGAAACCGATTAATCGGATTGTTAACTCTTTTTCTTTTGTAATTTTGAGATTTTCGAGAAAAGTCTAGTCTGGTGACCATATTCTACTTTCATTAGTGGAAATCTGTTTTAATCTCAGATGAGAAGCTACTTATACAGAAGATAACATAGAAATGAAATGCTAATTACCCTCCAGTCCATTGTTTGTACGTGTTGATTGATTAAATACACAAAACTGATTAGTTTTCCTCAACCAAAATGATTCGAAATATTTGAAAAAGTCACGTAAATTATGACGAAGAGATATTGGTTTTGCCGGAACATTATTTAATTGTGGTTTAATGACGTCATAGTATACTCTTGTAATTTGATCACTAGGTACAAATGCTAAAGCCATTATTTGACGAAGAACTTGTCGTACCACTTCCAAATTTTGATATGCATCTTGTAGACCTTTACCTTGAATATTGCGATAAATTGCCTGGGAAAAGTGAAATGCGCATCCCAGTAATTGTGTATTTGGGAACTGAAAATAAAAGATAATTAAAAGAATATGGCTTCACAATAAAACTTGTGAATCTGGTCACCAAAAGAAATTAATTGGTACATGTTTATAGACTTTTGATTACACTCGGGCTTTTAGCTCTGTACTTCCTTCCAAATATCTCTGGTGACTAGCATAATGTTTTGAGGATTTAAAGTATATGCATGCAAGTCTTAACCTGGAGTGAAGAAGCAATTTATGAAAGGACACATTTTATAAAAAGATGATATATTTACCTCTTCTTTAATAGCTTTTGTTAATGCACTTTCATAATCACTCATCCAATATACCGGCTTCAAATCCAGCTTCAAATTGATAACAGCTGTTTTTAATACTTTTATGATTAGTTTGTACGTTTCATAGTTTTTATGTTCACACAAACAAAAAATTAATGGTACTATAATTAAAAATACAAGAAAACATCGAGAATCAGAAAACCTTTCTCTGGTGATCAGATTACAATTTATTCTTACCAGGATGCTTTTCTTCAACTTCACCTATTATTATATAATTTTGATGACTAATCTGTGCAGCTGTTTCGAACGTTCCATCACTTCCAATGCGATTTGATTTTGATAAAATATCTAACTGTAAATCACTCGCATAAATTAGTAAACGACCAACTTCTGGTGGTGCTGATGCATACGGTACTTGAACAACATTAGAATCGTACAATAAAAATCTGTTTCCTTGATCTGTAGTCGTAAAGCCTGGGTGTAACACAAACTTTGAATCTGTTGGTGATGTTGGTAAATGTTCCTGACGAATACGATACAATTGCGCTTCTTAAAAAAATTAAGCAAAATCATAATTTGGTCACCAGATTCATAAAGATTATGACTTCTCGAGTGAGATGAAAGATGTTAATTTTTATTTCTAATCATATCTATCTTGAAAGAATCAATAGTGTGAGCACTGGTCACCAGATTAGTATTTATACTGTCTTTCCTGAGAAATGAAGTTGTAAGAAAGGTTTTTTTTACTTACGCATGTTATAAAATGTTGGTAAAACTACTAACATTTCTGCTGAATATTTTCCTTTCATCAATTCATCTTCATAAATTGTTCGTGGACTAGATAACTCCTGACGACAACGATCACGTACACGTTGTTTAAACCGACGAATTTCAACATTATCCGGTTTAGATTCATGGATATGTTCACCTTGAATTGAATAAATCCGAAAGTAATTTTTTACTGTTGGATCTGATGACCGAATGACTATTGAAGAACACCGATGATGACGTCGATGTTCACATTCCCATTTCGTAAAATTGTTTGCATAGTTTTTTTGCAAAATATGAATATCCTCCCATATTCAATATGTGTCCTCCGCTTGTTGTTTCTGTAATAGCCATATCGTCTTCAAGCCAATATTTCATTGAGGATGCATCTGATTGTAAAGTACGTCCTCCAACTTTGATTGTATCTCCAATTTTGTACGGCTTCGTCGGATCAATTAGTTGGACAGTTGGTCGTGTCCTCGATGAATCATATTGGTATGTTGTTGGTAATTGAGAATTGGATGATTGATGTCGACCAGGAACTAATAAATGTTGAATTGGAGACTTCTGTTTCTGCTGTTGCGCTGGTGAAATAATGGTTACTGGTGTTGAATTAGAAGAAGAAGGAGAGGGTGATTGTAGTTGTGGTTCGGGTGAATGATTCTGGTGACCTGATTGTGTTTGTGGAGATTCAGGTATTAATGCAACTTTTCCTTGTACTGATATTGTTGGTGGAGATGATGATAAAAAAGAAGGTGTTATAAAAGATGATGATGGAGACGCAGTTCTTGTAAAAAGTGGTGATGATAGAGCAACTGTTGTAGAAGGTGGTAATGATGAAACAGGTGTCGTGAATGATGCCTGTGCTTGTGTAGTTGAATACTGAATTTCTTGAGCATTTAAGAATTGTTGTGATACTGTTGCTGATCCTGCATATGGATGGTGATAATATGGAGGTGCTGTTGCGTAATATGTTGACGGTTGCATCTGGTGACAAGTTTGATAAGAAGAAATTGCTTGATATGATGTTGCACCACCCGCTTGCCGATATGATGAAAGTGGTGGTGGTTGAAATGGCGGTGAAACATTAAAATTTTTCATCATTCTTAACGATATTATTAAACTCCATTCATCTGGTGATAATGTTTGTGGTTGAGGTTCACTTGAATGTGAATATTGATATTGATGTTGAAACGGTAATGCAGGACAGTACAAATGTGATGACGAGGATGGTATATGAAGTGCACTTGATGTTTGATTTTATGGAGTAGGCAGAAGATGATGTAATGGTGTTGATGATATATTCGATGTTGACAAAGGACTTGAAATAGCAGACGACGTGTGATTATTGTTGGTGTGCATAATAACAAATAAACGATGATGAATAAAATCTACCATAAAAAACAATAAGCAAGAAAAGTTAGTTGTTCTGGTATCCAGAATCAGATATTTTATGAAATAAAAAATCTGTGTAAAAAAAAGCTGTTTTCTTAGGGCCACAGTTGTGCTACGTACTTTATATAATTAAATACTCATATTGAATATTAACTTGAAAGAAGGGTCTGCAAGCATAGCAGAAAACAAATCATCGATATTTACTATAAATATTCACGAGTATTATTTTTTTATCCCACTCGAATCAACATCCAGGATAATTCCTTAATAAGACTGTTTTAATATTCATGAAGATAATTTCTTGACTCGCTAGGATAAACCAAAGTCAAATAGAAGTGCTTTGTTTCCAGCATACTTTTCAAAGTTCGCCTCTAATTACTAGTAATTCATTTCGCATTACCATTTCGAACAAAAATAAATTTTAGGATAGTTTTTGTTGTTTTCAAACAATGAAAGAAGAAAAACGAAACAAATAGTATATTTCAGAAAAATACTTAGAATATGTTACTAATTTGGCACAAACAAATACCTAATTAAAGCAAAAATAAAGAAGAAGATAGAAGTGGAATAACAAAATGAAATCAGAGTCATAGTTCTTTATATGTTTTCGTCGCTAATAACAAGTTGAAAATGTTCTCTAGTAAATCATTAATATTAATTATCATTCAAATAATTGGTGTTGTTAGTTTTTTTTTTAAATTTTCCCCAGAGCTTTCGTTAACGCTTCGTAATTTGTCCCAGCTTTTTCACCGTTATTCGATTTCTTTTTTTTTAATGGGACAGTGGATGGTACCGTGTGTGTATGTTCACCATCTGGTTTACGTTTAAAAGATGTGATAGTAGATAATTGTTGTTGTTTCTTTCTTGTTTTCGAACGTAAAAAGAAGGATCGTCGTTGATAACTATAATTAGAAAAAGAAAATGCTAGGTCACTATAATTAAAAACGACCAGTATGTATATGAGAAATAAAAGCAAACCTACTTTTTGGGTGTAATTTGACGAGCAATAATTTTTTTAACATGGCTATTTTTTTGTTTCGGTTGTGATGGTGTGATGGTGTGACTGGTTGTTCAAGAGATAGTGTAATTTTGCTAGTACTTTCAACTGAACTGGAACGTTGAACTGTATTTGAATGAGATGTATCAGTTAACGACATTGGATTACGTGCAGAGTCAGTAGAATCTAAAGATGGTGTTGTTGTCGATGGTAAAGTCGTAGTCAGTTTCGAGTTACGATTCAATACCGATAAATCATTAAAACAAGTCACAGATGATGATACTGTTTGTCGTGATGATCGACTACGTATATCAATCGTAATGGAAGAATCATTTTTGCCAGTGATTGGAGAAGACGATCGTGTAATCTATAAGTAGTCGGATGAAAACACTTTTCTGGTTACCAGAAACTACAATTTTGTCAGCATAGAGCAGTGTACTTACAACATTTTCAACTTGTGGTTCAATTTGTTTTGAAATATTAACAACATTATTGTTACTAGGATCATTTTCTTGGCTAACAACTTCCAAATGATTAGATGGTAGTAAGATAATATTATTTTCAATAGATTCTTCATCGAGCACACTATTATCAATCACAGTTTGATTTTTGTTATCAACACCACTTTTAACATTATTACTAGATCCCTAGGATAAAAGATTAAAATCCAAATCTAAAAATCTGGTCACCACTTCACAAACAGTAATAACATACTTCTGAACTATTATTTTTTAACTCATTGAGTTTTTCGTTTTCATCTTCATCATCACCTGAATTTGTATCATTTTCTTCATTGGTTTTGTTCTATTTCAATAAAAGAGGAATAAATAGTATATATAATACACTATTAAAAATGAATCTAAAGATTGTCACTACTTACATCATCAACTTCCATCGCATCATCATCTTCAGCAGTGTACGTTTCTGAATCTTTTCCCTCCATCATTTCAACAGACTGCAATTAGAAAAAACAAAAGTAGTTATTTTTCTCCTATGAATGATAAAATTCACTCCTGTTAGAATTCTCAAACAACAACTTACTGATTCTTCTTCATTTCCACTTTTATTTCCACCATCAACCTTTTCTTGTTCAATATAAATGTAAAAATAAATTCAACTCTGGTTACCAGAATTACAAAATTATTTAGTGACCTTTTTATTTGTTTCCTTCTGATATTTTGCCAATATTGCACTTGGTATTGGTATGGGTTTTATGGGATGTATCATAGCCAGTTCATAGTTCTTCCCGTAATACTCATACACTCTATTATAAAAGAATGATAGAAGTAGGAAAATGTATTGTTCCGAAATTATTGCTTACGGTTTTTTTGTTGTTGGTGGTACAAAATATGGATTAGTAACAATGTCAACACTTTTGGAAATAACTTGTACAAGACCATTTGCACGATCTTTCGTGATTTCAACATTTTCGATATCCAAGATTGTCTTAAGTTGAGCTCCTGATAATAATGTTCCATGTTCACGGGCATAACTTAATACATTATTCACGCATTCTTGTACTTCTTTTTTCTTATTATATAACAAGTATACACCCGCTATTTAAAACAAGTGATAAACAACAATGCTGAGCGCTTTAAAAGAAACTGTTGTTACAATTATATACTCACTATTCTTCGATCCTCCTTTCCAATTAATCGAACCTCTTCTTGTACGACCGGTTGAAGCTAAACGAAGACAGGTAAATAAATTCATGCTCTGGTCACCAGTTTCTAATATTAGAAACACAGAAATCTATTACACAATACCACTAAAAATTCTATTCACTATTTTTATGTCTACTTTGAAATTTAAACAATAGTTGTTTTAATAACATACTATTTATATGACTCGTTTCTTCTTCTGAATTTTCATCTTCATTAACACATGGTTCTGATTCTCCTTCATCTCCTTCCAATTCAGTTTCCGAACCATTATTGACATTTTCAATATCTAAAACACAAATATATAAATTTTGTTTCTGGTGACCAAAATCTAAAAATTTCTTTCTAGCACATTGACTCATTATGTCTTCTATGAACTTACCGATTTTTTTTCCTTCATTATTTCCATTTCCATTCGTTTCATTTTGAGAATATTTGGTCGAAGCTGAAATTCCACCTTTTATACCACGGTCACCATTCTTTCCATGACATTCTTCACGATCACCACCACGTGCTGAGCCTATATTTCATATAAAAGGGAAGAAACAAAATTTATCCTTTTGATTTTCAAAAAATAAGAACAAGACAAAAGTTCTATTTGAGGAGGGTATAGTAGAAATATGTATCACTTACCAACGCAAACTTTCTTTCTTTTGTTTCTCGATGTTTTATTTTTCATTACGGCATCGACGTACAAATATAAATGACCATTACTTAAAAACATTTGTTGTGTTGCTGTCGTTTTAGATGCATGTCCTTTAAAAAGAATCGTTGATTTCATAGATGTTTTTTGATTGCGATGGTAAAATTCATTGATTTTATTTTTCATCGCATCCGTTCCTTTGATACCAGCAAATTCACATACATTTCCTTTATATGATGAAAGATGTTGTAAAACGTAATTTTCAAGATCACCTAAAACGCAATCAGCAAAGAACAAATAAAAACAAAAACAAAAACAAAAACAAAAACAAAAACAAAAACAAAAACAAAAACAAAAACAAAAACAAAAACAAAAACAAAAACAAAAACAAAAACAAAAAGAGGGATAAACAGTATGATCCAGGTTTTAATATTCTGGTCACCAGAAACAGATATTATAGTAGAAAAAAAAGACATTCTCAAAATCTAATATATCAGGGGAACAAATCAAATTATGTTTTCTGGTCACCAGAATTGTAAGACTGTTCGTATGGAACAGGCTAGAACAACTCCTGTAAGGAATAACTTAATGGTTGAAAATAAAATAAATAATTTAACTAACTTTGATTCTGTAAATTATTTTTATACAAGATCATACATGGTGTGCTTAAGAATTGAACTAAACCACTACTTTCTTCTATGCATGTTTGTAAATCATAATGTGCTTCATCATCACTTTCATTATCATTGTTTTGTAAACCACTGCTACAGTTGATAATTTGTGTTTTTGATTTTGATTTTGTTTTCTTTTTTGTTGTTGTATTGGAACAGAGGTTAGCTTCTTTAGGTGATGATGATGATGATGATGGAATGATTTTTGAGGTAGAAGAACCAAATGTGGATGATGATGTTTGTTTGCTTGAAGATGATGTTGAACTTGCAATACACTGTAAAAAATATCCGTAGAATAAAAAACGAAAAAAGGGTTTATGAAAGTGCAACGTGTCACAAACCCTTTTAAAGGGTTTATTAAGGTGTTATAAACCCTTTCAAAAACCCTAAAA